GATGTCCAATGGAAAAGGAAGTCTTACGATGTCCAATGGAAAAGGAAGTTTTACATTTCCTATAGAAGCTTAGGGTCAAACGCTATCTGGCCACACAGAACCACTTCAATAGCAAAATCATCCGCATGTGTGTGTGAGTGCTTGGTCTAGCGTCAAGCGTCTGTTTGAGATTTCGATGTGTGGATCTACCCGCTCGTAGTCGCTGCGGCACTGTGATAGAGAAGACGCCAAGACCCGCACGCCCGCGCCTCCACTCTGAATGAGCCCTAAGGCGATTAACACACTGCACCGCGCCATGCGACGGAGCGCATGACGCGGAGTCACGCGCGCGGTGGCGGAGACGCAGGTCTGCGTCAAGGCGCGGTTTAATCTGCGCGGGGGTAGCGGTCTAGCGGCCCCGCGCCACTTAAAGTACTCGCTTCGTAGTTGATCGCCGTAGTGATTGTAAATGTAGCTGAGATTTTTTATCGATCTGGTTCGTAAAAAGAGATGTATCCAATATCTTCGGTGTCTTTTTATTTGAGTAAACAGAAACCAAATACTGCAGCGTTCCGAATGAGTGATGTATTACTAACCATTGATGTCAAAGAAGGATCTCAGCTACATGTACAATCTCTACAGCGATCAACTACGAAGCGAGTACTTTAAGTGGCGCGGGGTCGCTAGACCGCTGCCCCCGCGCAGTTTAAACCGCGCGTTGACGCAGATCTGCGTCTGCGCCACCGCGCGCGTGGTTCCGAGTCCCGCGCTCCGACGCGGGGCGCGGTGCAGTGTGGTAATCGCCTTAAACACATTTTGTGTACGAGTGCAATGCGGTTCCCGGGCGACGACTTGGTTTAACCGTAAACAATTAATTCTTAAGAGGTATAGAGTTACCCATAGTTTCCTTCAATCCATTCTAGATGAAAGGTAAACAAGCGGTTTAAATGAAATTCATATCCAATCACTCAATAAATAGAATAAGTAAAACTTTCGCCTATGTTTTGAAGGTTTCAATTTAATATATCACTAGATTTTCCAATAATGTTCTTACGAATAATATCTTAAAATCGTATTCGAAAAATGTTAGTCCAAAAGTGAGGCTATTATTATTTTTAACCGACTTCAAAAAAAGGACGAGGTTCTCAATTCGACTGTGTTATTTTTGTATGAATGTTACGCGATAGCTCCGGTATTTGTGAACCGATTTTCATGATTCTTTTTTTGTTGGAAAGAGGGTACCTCCATAGTGGTCCCATGATTATTTTGAAGAAAATCATCCACCTCTAAGGGTGGCTGATCACGCACGAACATTCATTTTAATAAATATCGCCTAAATTTTACTTAAGGAGCAATTATTTTAATGGTTGGTTTTGCTATTCTCCAATTCAAGGCGTTTTTCTCTCTCAATATACTTTGAGTAGTGAGAACCTATTTTTATTATCTCCTGTGTCAAGTCCTGTATAGTGGCGAACTAGAGATATTTCAGTAAATAGATGTAATTTCACGTACTTTGAGGTCGGTTTTGTTAGTACTCTGTACTGAGATTATTGTCCTTAATGATGGCCACTAGGTTTGGGCCAGTGTCAGTGAGGTTATTTTTTACATAAGGTTATCATTATCTATGGTCGCATGTACCAAAAAAAATATTCGGTTAATTTAATTTATGTTTCATTAATCGATTAGTAAATAAAAAATTTCAGTCGAAAAAAATCTAAATATAAGGATTTCATAGAAGATTATAAATCACAGCGCGACGTCGTGACATCATAAATTAAACATTAAAATTATTTTGATTTTCGCTTTGCGCCTCATGACGTTCTACAAAGGGAAAGTATGAACCATGTGAAATAACTATGGTGGACAATATACTAGGATAATAAAGGTAAACATATTGTTTAGACGGATATAAAAATTCAAATATCGATATTTCAACTAACACAGGAAGTATTAATGTTTAAAGTGTGGTCGTGTAGTATGTAATAGCATGTATGGTGTATGGCACCAATGAGTGTGACGTCACACTAAGCTATTGCTGTTTCTTTCTAACTGTAACTATTTCACTTTTGACATCGATGATTTGATGTTCAAAATTAACGGAAAGCAAATGGGTGATACTCGTCAAAATTTATAGACAAGCAACGAATACTCGTTGCTTACCTCAAATCTAGCACATCTCCGTATAAAGACACGCCATAGACCATCGAAATATGATCGATTATCACGCTAAAACACACGAAAAAAAACTTATTCGATGTTTATAAAGTCCAACTGCTACAGAATACATAAAAAGTTAGAAAACAGATCTTTTACATTATTATCTAATATCACTTCGCGTGACTCGACACGGGTGAACTCACCGAGTGTACTTAGCGTCTAGGGACGCATTCGCACTGTATAGCACTATGACGTCACAGGCTATAACGTCAGCGTTCATTGGAACCGCGCATATCTGCAAAAGTGATAAGAATATGTTATTGGACTGTTTGATCTGAGGCATTAAGTGGTTGTTTTTTGTTATGACCCATAGTTTGAAGTGTTAATGCCCTTCGAGGTTTTACTCAACTACGATGAGTCTATTTCAAAAAAAATATCGATAAAAAAATAAATGTTCTCTTTCGATAATTATATTCGTATTGTATGAGATCCTTTAGGTCATAGATTCCCAAACTTTTTGGTTCACCGCCCACTTAGGCAAGACAAAAAAATTTCGATCGACGCCCATCAACACAAAAAAAAAAAGTACATATTTGTATTTTATACAGGTAATTCAGGTTTTTTTCCGCGCCGACCACTGGGCGGTAGGGACCTCTTACTATACTGATACTGCAGCCGATATCAGGTATGTGCCACCTTACTAAATGACATATTATATACGACATATACATATATCGACACCAGCAAGGCATGCTAACTTAAAGATTGCAACTTTTCACCAGAGCTTATAAAAGAGTAACTTGCGGTAACTTTTTAATTACTACTAGTTATTCATCGTAGACAATAAAATATGTTAATATTATTACTTTTACATTATTTTCTTAATTTACAATTTAAATTAGCTGATTAATTTGGCATTAAAATATCGTCGAGTTGGCGTACTGTTTAATTGCTGGGAGTTTACTCTCGTTCCTCCGTCCGAAACAATTACTGTTAGATAAGTAAAATTCGACCAAATTAAACAACTAGTCGAGCATGAAGCTTCATTTGCATCATGCGTCTTATAATTCGGTCGAGTCTTAGTAATTTGACAGTAATTATTTCGGACGAATGTCGGACGGAGAACGAGATTACAGCCACTGGTGTCGATATATTATCTACACACATATCATAAACCCTCTACGATGTGTTCAAAAACCGCAAACTACGACCGGCATAAAGATAAACTGTTTTGTAAGGAGAAATTTCTTATATGTGACAATATTATTATTGCTTATTAATAACATCAAATTCGATTTTATTCTTACATTCAAATTTCGAATATCTCCGAAAAACAAAATAATTTGATTCGACCTCAATTCTAATATCAGTCGCGATTAAGTTTTATTCGAAATGAAATGTCAATAGCAAACAATTTTGACAAATTTCACACGTTGTTTGATATCGAACGATATGATAGTTGGGGCGGACTCTAATGTAAAAACTACGGTTGTGTGACATGCGTGAGAAAAGTTTTTATTTGCCGCCATTTCGCCAGTCGTAACATGCGGTTCCTAAACTAATCATAGAAAGCTTATAATATGTGTAACATATTATATATGATAAGCAGTGTATGTAAATATACAAAATTAGGCATTAAAACAGTCTGTGATGTTTTTATGAAACTCGCCTGTCAGCTCTTTTCATAAACGCACACTCGTGTTTTAATGCCTTTCATTATGTAACAGTCGCATAAACTACTATAGTACACGACAGATGAACAAATTTGTAAAGTTAAATACCTGCGCTGTCTCGACCGCTACAATTGGAAAATATCGTCATGAGCCCTTTCGAGCCGCTTCAGCGAGGAGTCGACACGGCGGCCCTGCGTGAGGGTCGAGGGCGGCGGCGGCAGCGGCGGCGGAATCACCTCGTTGTACGACGTCGACGCCCCCAACGACGCGGACTGACGCAATCGGGCCGTCGGCCTGTGACGCACGAACCCGTCTTCTAGATCCTTCACAAATCTGCAACGTTAAACATATTCCCTTTATAAAATAAAGTAAAACCTAAAGTTGACTTCAAATATGTCATTTTCCTTAATAAACCTTTGAAGATTATGATTAAATCTTAACCAAGATAGATGACTGTACTCAAGGTATGCCTTAATGTGAAGAGTGCCGAAAACTACATACATAACTTTTTTATAACCTTTTAATAATAATAAACAGTTACAATGTTTTTATCGATTACTTGCGAGACAGGCTTTGCCTAGTGCAGGAATCGTAGGAAATTCTCTGTACGCGATATACGCTACAATTGAGTTGTGTTACCTGGTTTTTTGTCGTAACTAAATTGTAATGTGCCTGCACAAGTTCATTTGTAAAATAAATTATTTTGTATTTTGTATTTTTTGTATTATAAAATAAACAGGCCTCCAAAGTTCGTGCAATTACATCTATTTGCCAAGTTTTATTGAAATCGGTTACCGGAAAGTGCGCGAAACAGGATTCGTCATTCATTCAATAGTTCCTTCGAATTTAAATGGGTCCAATACTAAGGTACTCTCTTTCCAACAAAAAAAGAATCATCAAAATCGGTTCACAAATGTTCACAAATTTTTATTCCGGAGTTATCGCGTAACATACATACAAAAACAATGCAGTCGAATTGAGAACTTCCTCCTTTATTTTTTAAGTCGATTAAAAATACGGATCATAGATGCGAAGAAACAATTATAATATAAAATTATACAGACGCTACTCTTTTTTTGTTTAAAATAGCTTTTCACCTCACTAGCTCGGAAAGACTTTCTTTCTAATTCGAAATTTTGCATGCTAGCGTGGAAAAGGATTTTGAAATTCGAACCTCACGATGGACTGTGGTGCGCCTAACTTTTCCTTCGATGAAAAAAATATCATAATGACACGTTCAACTACGTGATTTGTCGTACATTATTTATGTAATTTAGATCTGTTGGCATATTTTATTCTTATTATGGTTGACTGTTAAATTGACCACATTAATTAATTTTGTTTATTAAATTATTTTAATTTGTCGATGAACTAAAATAATTTCGTTACCACATAAATTATAATACAAAGAAGATAAAATTTTATGTGGTGTAAATTAAGAACGCACCCAAAACTAAACTTACTTTTTTCAAATTTTCATTTTAATCACTTCACTTTCAATACTTTGGATTGAATTGTACTGTAATAAATTGAAAAAAAAAAACAAAACATGAGCGAGTCTGAGTCTAACGGTGATAAAAACTGATTTGTTATAGCTCAACTGTTTTTCTTTCATCCACCATTTTCCTCGCTATAGTGAGGTGAAAAGTCGTGTGTTTCGCTCGCAGGAAAGTTGTTTTTTGTCTCGTGCCTTGAAACCCTTGCTACGCTCGGGATTCAATTTTTGAACTTCGATTCCTTCGCTTGCTCAAGTTTCAATACAAGCACTCGCCCCAAACAACAACTTTGCAGCCTTGCATAACAAATACCTATTTAATGAAGTTAATCCACTTGCTAACAATAACCAAGTTTTTACAAGTAGATCTTGAATTCTATGACAGCCCAATTGTCTTATATTGCGCAAAGTATAATCCGACGAATACATATCTTTTAATTAATTACATTTACCTGAACCGATATAACTTTATCAAGACAACAGCGTACACGATTCGGTTCAATAATGAAAATATCATTGTTAACTTGCAAGTGGCGGTTAAAACGAGATCGCGTAACGTGACACATCGCCTTTTATGCGCGAACTCAACATTCCGGGCAGCGGATATGCCCCAGTTTTAGATTATTTCCGTTATTTGGTGAGCTGCTGCAGCGTATATGATTAAGTCGGTTTATCTAAGCAATTTAATAGTCTTCTTATAGTATTGCACGTCTGTGGCGAGGAGTATAACAATTTTTTAACAATGTATATTCGATGCAAATGTACACAACAATATAACATTTTCATTAAAAAAAAAATTAAGGAGACACAGGTACACAGACTGTGGCATGACAGTACATTTGCTCAAATATTTTGTATGCCGTAAAAATAAACATAATTTATAATACTAACCTAAAAAGCAAGTCCAAACTCATGGTACCATAATTTCGTTTAACTAAGGTAAAAGATTTAAGGGGAACTGTATACGTTTTTACAATAATATTCTGGAGCATATATTAAGATTATCATTTTCTAAGTTTAAACTTACATTAGTATTTTAAATGAAAAGTCATATTACAAAATTGAAGACTACTTGTTGATCAAGATTACAGAAAGACGACACGACTCCAGACTCCACACAAATTTGATACAAAGTGTAATCCATAGTATTTAAGTTTATTTGAATAAAGCTATCCCTAGAGTTTCTTGTTCGATCTTCTCAGAGTACTTCACACGTAGTACTGAATAGGAGAATAGCAACTTTGCCCGTGAGCATCGTAATATATGTATTCTTAGCCTACGCGTACATATGGGTTTACCAGAAGGACATAGATGTAGGTACTGTGTTTACATAGCATAACCATTTTATTTCAGAGAAATTATTGTTCTTTATATTAGTGATGATCATATTACACTTTCACATTTTATTTTAAATTGTAATATTGTGACGCTGATAACAAGAAATAAATTATTTTATTCTATTCATAAGTCTCTACATTGACTTGTTGTAATCTTATAAATGAAATGCAAAATAATGTACAATTTTCCTGTTGTTTTTTGACGCATTCACTAAACATACTCTAAATTGAAATCATAAAAGCTATATACATAAAGTATTATAAATAGTTACAACCTGTAACAAGTTGAATTCCCTGTCTTATTCCACAACACTACGAAGTTTCGGTGTAACTTGTGGTTGTCTATGTGTGTATCCATGGCACCCGCGACACAGGGTTTCTCTAGTGCGGAGCTATGTGAGTGTGTGTGCGTTACTACAAAATGTGGGCGACGTGTCTCGCTAGAAAAAAGCGTTGGTATCGGAGAGTCTCCGCACAAAGTATTAAAGAGGCGCATTGAGATGTTATGAAAACATTCCTGAAAACAGATTTTCATCTTTTCATACATAATATGTAGGAAATGTCGAGCCAAATTTTATAATTAAATAAAGGAACAACACTAAATAGAAATTTGACTTACTGCGGTTTTTTTCGAGGGTCCTCAATCGCGCAAAAATTTAAAAATCGAAATGGGAATGCGTTGCCTCCATAGCAACAACCACTTACTGGTAGTACGAATTTATTAATAGTGTTCGCAAATAAAGAACCGACTGCAAGTATTGTGAACAAGTGAAAAATACCAAAATGAACTACAGCATTTACGAATGACGTCATCGCAACGGAATATACCCAAGATCAGCCAGATTCGCGACATCACATTCACTCGTTCTCTACCTTCCACATCTTTATTACAACTACATAGCGTACGGTTTTATTGAAATCGCTTATTATCCAATAGTTTTCAAATCAAATGCAGGGTTATTATTCAATAATTTTTATCACTAACAGAAATGAAGACAAACATTTTTAACTACTGATAGAAATAATCGATGTAAACGGCTGATACAAGCATGTGACATGGAAACATTTAGCTCGGATTTTTCAATTCGTAGAAAGAAAGTTGTTTGTTTTAATTATTGGCATGTCGTGTTTAGAAATTTTCGGCCAATTAAAAATAACCCTCCAAGATAGACAAAAGATGTTTTTATGAACACTGCACAACAGTAGGAAAATGCAAAGATATATTTTGAAAACATTATTCATTTAATTTGGCCGATCAAGAGATTTGTAAAATGTAAATGTAAATTTTTGTAGCAGTCGAGCTTCTTGTGAAAGAGTTCGTCCAGGGAATTACTACCATCTTACCTATTTCCGCCGCCAAGCAGTAATGTCAGCATTACTGCGTTCCGGGTTTGAAGGGTAAGGGAGCTGGTGAAAAAACAGACACATGGGACTTGTCAACTTATGTCTCAGGGTGACGGGCGTAGTGGCAAGTGGCTGAGGAGCTTCAGATCTTGGCGATTTAAAGCTCTGAGTGGCACTGCAACTGTTATGGATAGGCGTGTAGCATACCATCAGGCGCACGACATGTTCGTTCCGTGGCTTGATATTATATAAAAGAAATTAAAAAATTGTAAATTCGAATTATGCAAAAATTGCAGTTATATACTCGTATAGTCTACTAAAATATGTTTATATAATTATAGGGTTGTATGTTACATTAATTTGTTTGTTTTTTTATTTACACATGTATTTCTAATATTGGTTCGTCACTTCAAAGGTTGTTCAGAAATAGAGTCCATGAAACTTCAAATAAACTTTTTTAACAACCAGATATAAAGTCTTAACAAACAAGTATTAGTTGGCATGAAAACCCATTTAATATCACGAAAAAGAAGCTCTGTAGTGAGTGTTCATACCAGCCTGGGACGATGTTGACCTCCTTTATTCATCGTCAAGAGGATGATATAAAGGTGGGACCTCTTTTCCTCTGGTTCCTGGCCACTTATTTTGAAGACTTTGAATCATTCTCAAATTGTCTTTTCCTTCACTACTACACTTACGTTTGATCGAACTGTAGTCGTTCTCATCAAATTTCTTGAAACGAGAGGATGTGCCCGGAAATCACAAATCACATTCATTTACTTATTGTTAAACTTCACATTGATTACTATTAAAATTATTTATCTAGTTATACACGTCCTTTTCAGGTGAGTATTGTGTTATTTTATACATTTTTATAACATTTTATTACTTGTTTTATTATTTTATTGCCTTCCTTTTCCTCTTTTATCATCTCTTACAATAAATATTTTGGACCGAGCCTTTTCTAAGGTAAAGCTACAAACCGACCTCACAAATTTTTCTATGTGCTTGTTGTCGTATCTTTGCATTTGGTTTTTCATCGACTTTTTAGCCGTAGGGCCATCTGTGAGAAATCTATGAAAGTATTTCGTCACCCAGTTAGATACCTTTACAGCTACCAGTCCCGGCTAGAGATATTGCTATTCACTACATTTAAA